AAAAAAAAAAAAAAAAAAAAAAAAAAAAAAAAAAAAAAAAACACAAAAAAACACCACCACAACCAAAAACCCGGTTTTCAGGATAAAGTGCTCAAAAAAATTAATATACTATAAAGCCAGTAATTGTCAATGCCAGAATGGAATTGGAACATAGAATAACACTGGGTATAGTATTTTTTAATCATCATCTCTTCTTTTTGTAGGTTGTACTTGCAGAAAGTAAATAACAGCTCCAATAACATCCACATTTCACATCTTGAAAAACCAGGCTGGAAATGTAAAATTCAGGCATATAAAACTCTGAAATCTAGAAAAATAACCACTTTGATGATCCTTATCCCTTTAAATTAGAAATGGGCTGAGGAGACCACGGCTCAATTTGGGGTTTGTAAAACCTAAACTAGGTACACTTTCACTTCATGTTCCTTTTTGTTCAAGCCACTAAAGCTTGGAGGTGCAGACCAGGGTTTCAGGTCCTCCCTTTTTTAAAAAGCAGCTGGAAATGTTCACATAATTTTGTATAAAAGCAAAGGCTGTGGGACACAATAAACCAGTCTCGGTCTATTTAAAAATTAATACAGTAATTATGGGCTTTTTATTTTGCTCATCCTTCAATCATCTCTCCAGGGAGTTGCCTATTATATCAGAAGAAACAAGCTGTGTCAGAAGCAGAGGACAAGACAGGGGATGGAATGAGAAAGAAGAAGTGGAAGTAACATAAGACACCTAAATATTGTTTCTTCTTTTTCTTTCGTGCAGTAGTATTTAAAAACGTAGGAATTATCTGTAAGTCTATCCATCACAGTCTTCACCCATTAGGGAGTAAAAAAATAAATCAAACAGCAGGCATTCTGTCAATGTACAGATCTGTGTGCTAGTGGAAGGGGAAAGGTTTTACACTGTCATTGATTTCAGTGAGATTCAAGGGTATTCTCTGTGTGATAGCTGGGAACAAGCTGGCACTAAGTGTCCATCTGCTGGAGTCTTGCAGCTGGGGAGAGCCAGGAAAAGTGTAAAAGTACAGTAAGAACAAATTTTTTTTCTTTTTCTTTCCCCTTCTTGCACAGTAAGGTGTGTCAATTAATGATAATAGGATATTCTAAAATTTACTACACTCCCAAAGTTTTCCTCATCCCTGGAGTAGTCTTTCCTCAGGAGTACTGGATAGTTCTTATTTGGGATATGGTGAAAGATCAGTACTCCTTCAGAAGGGAAAGCTATAACGAAGGAGCAGGCAGCCTTCTCATGAAAGTCTTAGCTAACTGTCAGTCTCACTTGCATGTTGTGTGTCCTTTGCTTCGTGACTCTTATAAACACTATTGTACAAAGAAATCATTACAGAAAGACCATATGTCAAGAGACAGAAGCCTCTTCTGTAGTGTCTTAACTTGTTTTTAAGTCAGACCCCTCCCCATTCCCAAGGAATAAAATTCAAATCTACAGCAGAGTAATCATACAATGAAGCATGGATCAGTACTAGAGATGGAACAGACAGCAACAACCCCTGCCCTTTATTGCTTTTTAATTACCTCTCTCTCAAATTTCTGGAACTTCTCCTGAAACGCTTTAGAATCTTCTGTGGAGCTTTGCAGTTTTTTCACACTACTCATTAGAGCCTCGTCAAGGATTTTTTCAGCCTGCAAGTTAAAATATATTATTATTTTGGGGGTACAAATAAAACTCTGTGAAGACATCAGTGAAAATATAGAATAATACTGTACCTGAGATCTGTATACTGCTCCTAAAATACCTCCTGTGACCTGAAGAATCAGGATCAGAAGCAGTCCAATAAAAAACTAGAAAAAAACAAAAGGGGGAGGAAACTATAATACTTTCAACCAAGATGATATAATTTTTTCTAAACTACCATTAGTCTTTTATGTGCTTGAATAACCATGTAGGTAGAATGCAGTTCCAGTTGGAGCTGCTCCAGTTACTACTTCTTCGGCAATAAGAAAATGAGGTGCTCGAGACAGAGCGTGCTCAGCTGGTGATCAAAACAGGGTGCATACCAGAGAGGTGCCAAGATGGACAATGTATATGTGAAAGTTATCAGGTCAGGAGAACACAGGAGGACATTCTAGGTGGACCAGCAAAGGGAGCAACTGGGAATTTATGAAATTAAATGGGATAGGTAATGGGGGAGGATTAATGGAGGGAACTTCGGGGATGGATGGATGGATGGATGGATGGATGGATGGATGGATGGATGGATGGATGGAAAAAAAGCTCAAGTCTCTCTGGACCCTGTCGTCTTTTGATGAGACCACCCATCATTTTTACCACGCTAGAATTCAGAAGGGGCTCAAGCTCAAGGTAAGCAATGATAACACATGATCATAACAATGCTTTTGGTTAAACTAAAAGACTCCCATCCTCATTTGATACTACTTGCAAGGACTTTATCCATCAAATGTAGCTGTGACCTGTTGAAGGAAGACAAATGTTTTTCTTTCCTACCAAAAGCAGCATGCACCGGCTCTCCTTCACAGCACCACAGCACCCCAGAAACCCAAGGATCATAATGATGGAGCCCACGGCTATCAGCAGATCAACCCCTGCAAACAGGCTGCTGTCTATCTCCAGCTCCTGAATTGAGAGGAAAAAAAATGTTTCAGTTACAAGAAAAGGTCCTCGTAAAAACATCTGTATCCCCCAAAACAAGATAATCACTTCATAACTGATAAGTAAACAGTTTGGCAACCACAGAGAAGGTCATAAATAAACAAAGCTCTAATGTTAACTTCTTAAACGTTTTATTGGGGAGCTCAGTAGAACCTGACTTTTCACAACCTTTGTTTCTGCTCAAGATGAAAGTCAACTTCACAGAGTAAATAAATATGTCTTGTCTTTAAAGTGGTTTTCCGTTGGCTTTCAGTTGATGAATCTTTGCTTTTTACTGGAAGTAGCAGACTTGATTATCTCAAATCCTCTCCTACATTAACCAAATGTTAAAGAAACAAAACTTCTGTTTGTCATTAGAATGCCAGGAACATACTCTGTGACCATTCCTGAGGGAACATTTCTCAGAGCAATGCTGGATACATTAGAGAAATAAATGTATTTTCCAAAGGAGCTTTTCTTTTTCCTTTTTTTCTCAGGCATGATCTCTAATATCACCCTCATAGATGAGGACTTTATTTTGATGTGTGGGACATTCACTAAACAATTCATATACCTCAATATTATAAAATATCAAATTATTCAGTTCCCACAGGACTGACTAAGGCCAAAGGCCAAAATAGAGGAAAACGTTCAAAGAATATTTTCCAGTGTGACTGGTGCCAAGATTAGCAAAAATGTCTGGAAGTTGTCACATTTATCTTTTGATAATTGCAAAGGTATATAGACAAGTATAATTTGAAGAATCTGTTGTTCTTTCCCCTTCCAAGTTGGACTGAACCTCCTGTTATTTATTCTTAGAAAGCTCTATTCATCTACAGCCAAATCCTTATGCTCTGCTCAATTATTACTCAGGAGAAATATACATTGGTTTTGAATGGGAACTTTGCCTGCCTGGAAGCAAAAATGTGAGAAAATTCTTTCAATTTTGGTCTATACTTTTAATTCACAGGTTTTTGGGGAGTACTAAGTGTCACTTCAGGAAAGCATTTTGTCACACATTTAAGTATGCTTTTCTGAATAGGAAATCTCTCAAAAAATAAGAAAGGATAATAGTGGTTGTGGTTTTCCAAGCTCCATTTTACCATCTGAGGCATCATATTAGAGACTGTCAACTACCAAGTATGGCAACTTTAGCTTCTAGAAAAATACTGATTGAGGAGTGAAAGTTGTCACTCTTCCTTCTCCACAGGACAGAATGGCAGAGCTCTCCACCACGACTTAATTTACCCAATGACAAAATGTCATCATGAACCAAGTTCTCTTGCATCCATCCTCTACCAGTCATGAGACATCTGGGACTGGCTAAAGGTAACAGTCAGCCAAATGGCAAGAGATGTATAAAGCTATTTTCTTATCTCCACCATCTTTTTATTACCAGATGGGAAAATACTGACTTAAAAACTATTATTCTTAACTGATGGCCTGTGCTAGAGCAGCAGGGCAGTGATCTGAAGAACTGCAACTTAATCTATACTAAAGCCTCAAACTGAAAGCTGAAAGCAATGTTTCCATCTCACATCGGGCCATTTTTTCACTTTTATGGCCAGAAAGCCTTTTTGAAAATAGAAGAATAAAAGTTAAATTTTCCAATTAATTTGTATTTCTATGCTCTGAATTCACATGAAGAAATATACTGCTTAAACCTTAGAGTAAGTGGCACTGGGTGCACACTGGGAAAAAAAAAGGGTCCCCAGGAGCAAAGGGCCTTTGCACCAACAGGGCCAACCTCTGCTGCATGTCTGCAATACCAAGGGCTCCTCAAAAATCGTATTTTCCCTAGTTTTGAAGAAAAGGAAGTCATAAAGTCTGAAGTAATTTAATAACCCCTATAAAAAAATTTCAGGAGGGGAACTCAGGGACTTTTCTCCCCTCTAGGAGGGCTGTCAGGACATTTTAATGTGTCCAGTTCTGCACCCCTCAGTTAGGGAAGGATATTGAGGTGCTGGAGCAGTTTCAGAGAGGAGCAACAAGGCTGGTGAAGGGACTCAAACACAAGCCTATAAGGAGAGGCTGAGGAAGCTGGGGTTGCTCAGCCTGGAGTTGAGGAGGCTCAGAAGTGACCTCATCACTCTCTGTAACTCCCGGAAAGGAGTTTGTAGCCAGGTAGGCATCGGCCTCCTCTCCCCGTCAACAGCAGTAGGACAAAGTAGCTGTGCCAGGGGAGGTTTAGGTTGGATATTAGGAAGAAATTCTTTATAGAAAGGATAATCAGGCATCGGAATGGGCTGCCCAGGGAAGTGGTGGATTCTCTGTCCTTGGAGGTTTTTAAGATGAGACTGGATGTGGCACTGAGTGCTATGGTCTTGTAACCACGGTGATAGTGGATCAAGGGTTGGACTTCATGATCTGAGAGGTTCTTTCCAACCCGCCTGATTCTATAATTCTATGAATTCTAAGTAAAGATTTTTTGGTAACTAAAATTCTTTCTATATAAATATGAGAGAAGAAGGATAAGGTGTTTTTAAGGAGCTGTTGAAAATAGAAGAGAAAAATCCTTGCTCCCTTTCAAAGTTGCAGTTGCAAAGGAAATAAGAATTGTGTTATTGAAAGGTAAAAATATCCCCTACAAATATATGAAGAAACCCTAGGAATATATATGACTATATATTCTAATGGGGAAAAACATTGAAAATCTATGACCTGCATAGCTCCTTAGTATTCTAACACTGAAATCAATAACATCATTAGTTTCCATTACAGGAGAGAGAGACTCATGTTTTCAAACAGAAATCTGTGTGCATCTGCATGAAACTACATTAATAACACTAGCAGACACTTCTTGTAGTCACATATCTCTGTTTGCAGCAATCACTTTATCTGACTACCTGCATCATGTTGTTTAATCTTAACGTCATAAAATGCATTAATCTTTACCCACACAAACCACTTCAACAAAAACATAGACAATTTTTGGAAATGAAGATGGTAAATTAAAGTGTATGTAGTAGCTTCCACATTTTACATGGTGCTGGTATGACTGCATGCATTTACCTGCTGAGCATCTTTACTAACACGTATCCATATGGAGACTCCCAAAATAATGGAACCACACAACTGCAGGAGAAAACAAAGACAAGTTAGAAATGTCAGCAATTTTTGACTAACTTTCAATATCCAAATTGCACCAGATGCTGTCCAAACTTCTGAAATCATTTGTTTGGCAAAGTGAAAGAAGCATGAATTGCTGGAGCATAGAATATTGATTCATATCCAGGAAAATTTGGATCTTCAGGTATGCACCAAATCCCTGATGTTTCTGCCTCAGAAGACTACA